AGCTGCCTACACTCACTCGATACTGAAGATGAGATCAGATGGGCAGAAGAGAATAATAAGAATAAGCAACTAGGAACTCTGGCTGTCTGGCTGTCTGGCTGGCTGGCCAGAATCAATTCAGGCATATGACTAATGTCAATAGTAGATATATCTATCTTCAGTTATTAGTAGTTGACAGAAATTTTCTAAAAATTCAACGGGCTTAGACCGTTAAGAACTAGTAGAAGAAAGTTAATTAAGAAAACATGGAAAGTAAAAATAGTGTAAATGAGAAGAAAATATAGTTACTAGACTACTCCTCGACTAATCATTGACTCTTTCGACGAGCAACTGAGTAAGGCTTTTTGCCGTCAATAGTTATTGTTCCCATTTTACAAACCGGAATCGATATTCTGTACCGACTTACCTCTTAAATTTCTTTGTGGAGGTTTTATGAATTGATTTTAGGTTTGAATTCATCATAGACTCATATCAGTTGGAGGAACATCAGAAACCTTGGAGTACTGGATAGCTGTGTCGTCCTAGTGTGGCACTATTCTGCAATGCGCACCCATGGCCCCCTCCCAGGGATCGAACCAGGGGCATTCAGGTTCAGTGGCCAGCATATTACCACTGACCAACTGAGTCGGAATCCAATAGTCAACATTTCCTACTTCTGTCACTTCACCTCTTATTGGTTATCAACATGCTTATGTTATTTTTTGAGCTTATCAAATGGTGAACAATTTAATTTCTAAGTAATTGTGATCTACTCAAATCTAGGCTTTTTGAAGCAAATTCAGGCATTTTCATGTAATTGCTTGTATAAGATAACAAACTGTATGAAATAATGTAAGTATTAGACAAGCATAAAATTGGGTTATACGTGAATGCAGAAATATATTTAAAACATCATTCTCTGAATGATTTGTTCAATGACTTGACAGCTGATCTGTATAACCCTACTTTCTATCAGACTATTGATTTTATTATAATTATCAAATATTTTCGGTTAGTCTTTGTCTGAAAATGAGAAAATATGTTTTGATTTTCGATCCTTTTATTTTTTTTGTTTTAGTCTCCTACTCAACTTAATAAATTTTCTTTCTCTTTGGACTAGTTTTACTCATATTATCCTAACAATGACCAGCTAATTACTGATATAGCTGAATGATAGATGAATTTATATGGCAAGTCAATAGTCATCAGACTGCCATACATATTTCCGATATATTTGGTAATCTTATTTAGTGACTGTTGAATGAAAATAAACTGAATGTCGATCAGTTATCCATTTTTACTGGTAATGGGATATGAACATTATTTCATGTTGTTATTCATCGTAGACTGACATCAGTTGGAGGAACAAAGGAAACCTGGGAGCACTGGACAGCTGTTTCGTCCTACTATGGGACTCCTCAGCAGTGCACACCCACCACCCCACCAGCAGGGGTCGAACCCACGACCTTCAGGTTCCGCAGCCAGCTCGTTACCATTGAGCCACTGGGTCAGAATCCAATGCTCCATATTTCCAACTTCTGTTAGCTCACGATATATTACATTAAATATACATTAAATGAGAGTTTTTTCTCAGCTAGAAAAAACAAAATGGGCTTGGTATGAAAATATTGTTAACCTTCTGTTTGTCAACGATTCATCTGTAAAAAAAATATAGGTATCAAGAGATTACCATAGTCTCATATAATTTAGACAGAAGAGCTTACTGAGTCCAGTTGTTAATTGGTCCTATGAAATTAAAGGTCAAGAAAACAAACTGACTATCTAAATATTGTAATCCCAGGGATTATTTGCCCATTTCAGTCTTATTCAAGTTTAATTTACTAGAAATTCTAACCCGTAATCCCATAGACCCAGGTTTAAAACTTCCTGTCATAGACAAGGTATCTCTCTGCTTGAAAAGAGTTTACCATTAAGATATTAGGGTTTCAGAAATTTCTTGCCTTATAATCCATCATAGCAATCATTCTTCCAAAAATATATCATAACTCTATATACCGTTTGCTTAGTGGACTGTATAAAAAAATTACCTTTGATATTTATAAAAAAAAGGAACTTCGTGGAAAATTAGCAGCTTTGTTAAATAAACCGTGGATAAATCTTGGTCCGCTTTCTTCTTGAGAACCAAATCACTTCTGAATTACAGTGTAATTGAGAAGAGATCGAGTTTTGAGGGTTATTCACATAATTATTCTGAAGGTCAGAAAGTTTAACTGTTTTTGCTCAAGGTTATTTGAAAAATAGATCGAAAACACTTTAAGTCTGTTTACTGTGTGATTCACATTATTTATATCATGAAATATAAAAAAAATTATTCCATGGCTCTTAAATATTTCTAGCAAACTTGAAGAAGAAATCAAGACAACAGGGTAACATAATTGGGAGGCTATTGCGAAGATGCATGAGTGGAAGTGCAGGTAGTAGTAGTAGTAGTAGTAGTAGTAGTAGTGGTAGTGGGAGTAGTAGTAATAGTTGTTGTAGTGGTAGTGGTAGTAGTAACAGTGGTTGTAGTGGTAGTGGTAGTGGGAGTAGTAGTGTAAGTAGTAGTAGTAGTGTAAGTAGTAGTAGTGGACATTACCTATACTACTGAAATAAAAGGCATTTGCATCGTTCTAGTCGGTTTTCTAACAACTCGTAGACTTTACTTTATTAGAAATTGATGCATATGAGTGATTATTTTCAGAAAGTGTAAATCACTGCTAAATTGTTTAGAATTGGCAAAATGAGTGTCTCAGAATATGTGCCAGGAGAGATGCCAAAAAAGTATCAATCCAAAATGTTATCAAAAGATTTCCAGATAAAATTATTTCATGGCGCTAATAATTTATGACTAAAGTGATCTGACCATCGAAGTCATAAGAATGGAGTAATAAAAGTATCGTCATACTGTACCATATACACATATGTTATGCATCCATTGCCCTCCCAATTTCAAATTCTTTGCATAAAATATCTTAAATGATCCACAGTTCACGTTGGAAAACTGTGATGTAAGTTTGCGCAAAGTAATCACAAATACTTAACTGAAGTTAACAGTAGACTCTGCCTTCCATCATCGGTTTTAGTATCTACACACATTACAAAGTATATTGAAAATGATCTGACTCTTGTATTATTCTGCAGTCCATACTGAATTGTGCAAAGTAACTGGACTTTTTATGAAATCTTTGTTCATTACATTGAATAATCTGTTCTTAGAGAGTAAACAGTTTCATTTTGTATACTCCTTAACACTGACTATATTCTATCGATTAGTTTCAGTGTAACCACTAAGTCAGAAGACTCATCATCCTAGTACCTTTTGAAAGATGTCAGTTGATTGAAGGTAATCAGCAGAAAGCCTTGCTTGACACAGATTTTGAGCTTGTTGGCACTTGTCAACAAGATGAATTTGCAACCTCCAGGGAACTACTGTCTCGTGAGAGATTAGAATCCGCGTTACAAAGGGCTTCAAAGGTTTGCATTTCGTTTGCATTCAAAGGTTAGTAGGATCGAGTTGGTAGTGAAGAGGACTCCTTATACGACACTGGTTATAATGCATTAATCTTTTAATCTATCTAACCTCCTCTTACTTTATTTAGTCTCCTCGAAAAATTTGCTATCAGCGCCTCTGGTGACGGGACTGAATAAAATTGTTTCAGGTCTCTACGTATGTATCATATTTTTGCACTTTGAGACGCGCTTTCTGATGAATTTTAGCCAGAATAAAACAGTGAATGAAAACTTTCATAAAGATTACCAATGAACGAACAAACGGTTACTATCCAACGACGTTCTGGTGAACTCATTTCGGTACTTTTTGAACTTCCAAGTAACAGAAGAGTAACTACTGGATAACTTCTTTGTGGCAGTATACAAATTACTTGTTTTGGTATGAGCACAGTCTTAGTCTACAAACAGAATGCAATACAAATATAGTTTACCTTGAAGGCTTAGAAACAGAATTGCGTAACTGTTCGAAAATCAGCTATTCTCCCTATGCTATTCAGCTGCAGGAAGTAAAAACGTTAGTATGCGCTTCCTCCCGTAATCTAAACGACTCAGATATTGGTTATTTGGTCATCAAGTTTTTCCGATTTCCTTTTCATTGAACTGGTCCACTTTGTTGCATGTGGTTGAACGGTCCTATCGGTACTACTATGATTCTCATGTTGGTGTTATTTGTTTGCCAACGGCCAGCTGAGAGACGTAAGCACATCAAGCTAACGTGTACTAGATGATACAAAACATGCATCCTGGATCCGACCGCTAGCCATTATTAGATGAGCAGTATCACAATTGAACTTCCATCACCAGGAACCTTGAAGCATTCTTGGTTCAGATCCCCTTCCAACGCCAATCCACGTTTCCGTATATAAAGGTTATGACCACTATTGAAAATAAAAGATATGGAAGTCAGGATTAAAGTTTCGGCGTTGAAAGTCGTCTTGGATTCTTGGACTTAATCATTATTGCACTTCTCATCTGGAGGTATTTCCAGTTAATTTCAATGATAGATAATGTTTGAGAAGCTTAGGATTTATGTTGGGACCCGAATATGTCTTGAGATCTTGTCATCATTTTCACTCGCATGTACATTTATCTGCAAAGCGAGATTGTTACAAAGTGTTTAATTAAAATCTGTAAACTAAAAGTTATTGATAAGTTAGGACAAATATGTTCATTTATTTTACCATAAAGGTTTTTTATGTCCTGATGGCATCATGGAATGCGCCATGAACTTTGAATGTTGTTACTTGTATTATTCTGTAGTTGATTAAACTAAATTGTTCAATCTCTCTTGGATTCGAGTCTTGGTGGGAACAATATCACTCAATGAGAGGCAGGTATATCCAGCTGACGAGTCCCAAGTGGGGCGAAACGTGCAAGCTGGATTCCACTGCTAGCCACTATCTACCAATAATATGCCATGAATTTTTATGACTGATTTCATCAACTTTTTTAATAATGCTTGAGTGTTCGTAGTTTAATAAAACTTTCTTTTTGTTATCATTTTTTTTCAGCGTCAAGAATGGTTCGAGTTTGCAGACGGTGAGTGTATTCACTACTTCATGATTTAGAATAATCAAATTTTATCAGTCAGACTGTCTAAGATGGTCGTGGATCTGTAAACTAGTACTTCCTTACAAAGTGATGATTGAGAGTGAAATGAAAAAACCTGCGTCGTAGTTGCATTTCAGTCAGTAACCTCCAAGTTATTAGCCCGAAGCCTTATCAAATTATCCATGAAATCGTCCTGCTCACCGGGTCTTAACCAAAGTAAAATTGGCAAACAACTGAGCTAATAATCTGACCGCTACTGTTTCAGACAGTCAAAATGATAATCAATATGATGCTCCCCCTCCCTAATTCAGTTACATTTCGAGTGAGATGAGAAGCCCTAACTAGGCAACCAGTATCAATACGATCAGACAGTAGTAAGGCGTCACGAATTCACATGGTAGTCGAACAAAAGCAGATGGTGATTGAATTGAAATGAAAATATGGTCAGTAGTCGGACCTTGTAGGTCAGTTGGTAGAGTAACAGTCTGAAATACTGGTGGTCACTGGTTCGAATCCGGCCACGGTGCAAATTTTCAGTTCACCTTCAATCATTACCCAGTATAAATGTTATGGTTGTTGAACTACGCCTATATCTAAATAATAACCCCATATAAATAAACATTTGAGCCTACATGACGTTATAACTGAGTCATAGTTATATTTCCCATTAGAACATCCTACCTGATCTCATTTGAAGTTCAGAATTATACACACAGATTAACAGTTTTCTACTTTTCAACCCACAGAATTACAATTATGCCTTGATCAACTCATTTGACAACAATGAAACTAAGAATACCTTACTTGGAATGATTCAGCTGAAGTGAAACACTTGTCTAGAGCACTGAAATCAAATCGTTCTATATGCAAGCAACTGATGAAAGCTTGTAAATACGAACAAACTGGGACATTATTTTCTCAACAAAATTTAAGCTGATGTCTTATACAGTTCATATAGTATATTGACTAATTTATATATGAAACTTTGCAAGTATACTGTAATTGGTTTGTGAATATTTCATCAAGTTTGAAAATCAACTCGAAGATCAACAGAACTTGTTGAAATTGATTGAAATGTTATATTCTAATGGTAATTTAACAAAATTACTTCTGTATTAGAGTTAGGGTTTGTTTCAATAAACTGGTAATGTAACCTCTGAGAAATGGAAATATTAGCCAGAAATGAACACAATATAGCTAAAAGAAAATATGTGGCATTTTTAAGAAGTAACGGGTAGTGTTAATGTTTTTTCGTAATGCAGCGTAATTCCCCTGAAAACTGAAAATGTAGACCAAATGATTCTGTTCACCTAATTGTTTTGTGAATCATTCTACGTGTAAACTGATAATTACTGACTACATCCCTTAAGCTGTGTGCAGTAGATATTGCTGAGGAACCCCTATTCATAGAAAAAAAGCTGTTCTTAAAAATTATTGGGTTACAAGAGAATATACTAGTCTCAGGATTGATGAAAAGAATGTTCTCTTTTGAGACAGAGGGAGTTTGAAGTCTTCCTATTTGGAATTTCAATGGCAGAATCGTCTTCGAAGTTTAGATTCATGTGAAGTATTTTTTTGATATGGTGATAGGATTCTTTTACGAGGTTTAGGCTCTCTCTCTCTCTTTGTTTATGAAAGGTGGTAAGAATCTTTTTTTAATCAAGATGTTCTTCAGATTAGAAACTTCCTCTTCCAACTCATTGGGACTGCAGGTTTGTCTAGTGAGATTGGTAAGATATGTAATCAGATTCTGTTTGCAACTCATAACTACCCAGCTTTGAAACTTCATCACTTGACCATTGCATATTCGTTTTCTATGAATCGATCTTCTTAGCATTCTACCAGCTGTTCTTGTTAGCTTGACATGAAGAAAGTGGATTCCCCCCCCCCATTGTTAAATGGGAGCTATTGACTATTTGTAGAATATGATTCGAATCACACTGATTATCACAGACAATGAAAGTATCATCCATGTACTATTTTACAATTGAAAACCTTCAGTCGTTGGTTTCAAGGGTCTACTCTTCAAAATAGCCATAAAGACGTTTGTTCGTGGTAAACTCAGTGTGGATCCCATGGTGATTCCATCTTCCTATCAATAAATTACACCTGTAAATATGCACCTAGGTAGTAATTATTTAAGATGGGGGATCAGTATCCCAACAGTCTTGTTGTTATTTAGTTAGTTAGTTAGTTAGTTTCAGTAGGCGGAACATTGGTGGAAAGTGACTCGATATCAAGTGACACTATATATTTATGAGATATATTCACGCCTATTATGCAGTCCACAAATTCAAGAGTATCACCTGGAGAGTGGATGGATATTCAACTTCTTATAGGCTCTAGAATTTTGGCTAGCCATTTTACAACTAGATGGTATGCAGACTAATATATGTCTAGAATTGGACGGGGAAGTTCATCAGCTTTGTGAATTGTAGCAACCCGTGAAGTCATTAAATTGTCGAAAACCTGGTAGTGTGAAGCCTTCACAGAGATTACTTAGTAATTAGCTGATCATTTTTCAACCCTTTTAAAACGTCAATTTATGTACTACTTATCATTTTTTTTAACAAGTAGTTACCAAGTTTACTTAAGAAAACTGGTGCAACTCAACAACTATGCTTGGCCTTGTGAACAATATTCAAGTTTGAATGAGAACGCCGGATGTGTTAAAGATTTCTCAGACTTTAAAAGATATTTCGTCTGGTATATTGTTTTTAAGGATTTGTATGTAAAAGATGATAACAACGAGAACCTTTTGAATTTAAAGCAACTGGTCCCGCTGATAAATTTAAACAGCGTAATGAAAAGACGAAGATTATCTGAAACATGTCGTGATGTATTAGCGCTATACATTTCGAACAATCTGATCACACATGGACTTGTCGAACTATTTATATGAAAATTTACGAAAAGGTCAATGAAGTTAATAGGAAACATAGGAATAGGAAGGGATAGAAAAAAAACGAAAACCTTATTCTTGGTATGAAAATTAAAATCAATACTACCAAGGTAGGTTCAACGTGAGTACAAATTGTTTTTGTATACATAAAGGGGGTTTAAATTTACGGATGGCAAGAGCTTCAATAAATTTAAGCACTCGGCTCTGACCACTTTTATGTAGTACTTTAAAGGCTGTTTTCATGTCTATCCTATGGTTAGTTTCTAGTATATGTTTAGCGATAGACGAAGATGGATGTTTGTCACCTGCACTTATCGGATCTGTTGAGGTCATTTGTTTTTGTAGCCACTTAGGTACATGTTCAGCCTTCCTTAACTGCATATCACGATTACTCCTCCCTATATATGTGTGTCCACACATACATGTAAATTGATAAACACAGTGGGATGTGATGTAATCGTTTATATGTTGTTTCGGTTTGTGCTGTAACATGGACTTGGTCTTCTCTACAATGATGACCTTAGCTGCATAATACGTTTTACAGATGGCCGATCTAAGTCTTTTCCTCACAACAAAGCTATGTGAATCACCTCTAAATGGTAATGAGATGTAGACATTTTTCTTAGCAACGGAACACTGTGTACTTTTCAATGGTACATAACTTTTGCACCGGTCGATAAATCTCAACGGGTATCCATTCTATGTCAGAGTTGTCGTCAGTAAGTTGGTTTCTTCCTCCCTGGTGTCATCGGTGCAGATACGGTTTATCCTGTTGAATAAGCATCTGACTAAACCACGTTTATATTGGACTGGACAATAGCTATGGAAATTAAGATATTGCCCTGTCCATGTAGGTTTCTTATAGATCGACCTCCTGATCGAGCCATCCTCCCGTCGACTGAGCAATACGTCTAGGAACGGTAGCTGGTTGTTCGTCTCTTGTTCACAAGTCAGGCTAATGTGATTCTGAGCCGTGTTCATTTTCTGTAGCAGGCACATTGCATCATCAGGCTTTTCACATATAATGACTATATCATCAACATATCTCTTATAAAGTGAAACCCTTCCGATGAGATCGTCAGCCATGTTTTCAACATATGACATGTATACATCAGCTAGCAACGGTCCTAATGGACTGCCCATCGCGACACCATCAATCTGTTGAAAGTGTTCGCCCTCGAATGTGAATTCAACTTTATCAGTGCATAATAACAATAAATCTTTTAAAAAATTAATAGGGATAGGGAATATAAGACTGTTAGAAGAAATATAGTCACATAAAATATCAATTGTTTTTACTAGAGGTACATTAGTAAATAAAGAATTTACATCAAACGAGTACATAGTCTTATCCTTGATATTAATATCATTTAAACAGTCAATAAGGTCAAATGTATCTTTCAATGAGGACTTACATAAATGGCTTCTGACAGGACTCAAGAGCTTTGCCAACCATTTGGCTAGATTATGTGTGGGTGATCGACACATAGACAATATTGGACGCAGTGGGTTGTCAGGCTTATGAGTTTTAGGTAACCCATATAGATGTGGATGTTCAGATCCCATAGGTTTTAGACGATTAAATTCCTCCTTATTGATTAAATTCATACCAAGCATTTTCACAAGTTTAGAATTTACTTCCAATTTACGTATCCCTCACAGGGGGCATCTGACGTAAATTTGCTTTCATCACTGAGAATAGATAACATCTTACTTTTATAATCAGACGTGTTCATAACGACCACACCTGATCCTTTATCGGGTTTTAGTACGACAATATCAGAGTTATTTCGTAATCCTTTCAGTGCTTGGAAATGCTCACGCGTTAAGATGCTTTTCTGTCTTGGACCAGGATTATGAAACCCATGAGCGATGTCTACTAATTTAGCTCTTAGCCAGTTCTCATTGTCTGGAGAAGTTGGGACAAGTGAGCTCAGTTGATCATACAGGTTTTCAAATTGAGCATCGGTTGTTAAATCAGAGTTTTGTGTTTGAGGGACAGAAAAACTGAACCCAAGAGAGAGCGCCTCTTTATCAAGAACAGATAACTGAACGGATGATAAATTCGTCACATAGTTGTCTGGGT